GTGTGTGTGGGTGTGTGCGTGTGGGTGTGTACATGTTAGTTAGAGTGGGAGAGAGAGAGAGAGAGAGAGAGAGAGAGAGAGAGAGCGAGAGAGACGGAGAGAGAAACATACCCTATCCCAAAACTAGGTAATTTTTCGTGTATACAAAATCTACTGCACCATTGTAGTGTAACGCCAAACCTTACCCCACAAAGCCCAAATCCTCCCCCAAAACCTATGAACCTCTTAGGAGCCATATAGGGATATAGAGGAAGACATGACATCAAAACCTTCTTACCTCTTGCAAGACCTGATTTGCTGCGAAGCTACAGCCATAAGCACCGTAACGATGCGTAGCATCCGGTAGGGGATATAGCCGGGATGGTGGATACCCTGCTGGATAGGGCACCACACTCCATCCTCCATATTCGCATCGCCGCAGGTCTCTTCCACATCGCTTTCATCGAACCTCAGATAGATGTATCTTGCATTCTACATAGGAATTAAAGTACCCCTGTCAGACACAAAGACTGTCAAGTGTGTTTCAAGCCGCTGCAGTGCCCTCCGAAGCATCCTGAAAGAATGATGCCCACCCTAGCCCAGGCAAGTGCTGGCTGCAGCCACTGCAAAACGGCTGCATGCAGCGAATGCAGGCCAGGGCTTGCAGGATCACATGTCTTATAATCGCAACAGATAGGATTCGTCTCTTTTTCGACGGGAGGGTTCCTGTGCCGCCGTGCGCGTGGTAGTCCACACCAGCTAGCATCCCGAGAGACCCTTTAGGCGAGTAAAGTAAATTTGCACATTGTCTGTGCAATGTGCACAACTCTGCATGATCCAGCAGCCTGCACGCATCTGTGCATAAGCATAGATATCCCGGAAGCCTACCATAGCAAGGAGGTAGGCAGGTATAGCTTATGCAGTACCGTAGCAGTGTTTTCAAATTAGTACACAGTGCATGCTTCCCAGGCTGAACCAGCATGGGTCCGAAGACCTCAGATCAAAAGGGAGCTTGCGTGTCTCCCGAGGTTCGAGGCATATGTATACCTATGTAGGTATAGACAAGGGGTTATGGATGGAAGTATATGGGTCTCTGTGGAGGATCAAAAAAACAGGGTGAGAATATACAGTATATATGTATGTATATATGTATGTATGTATGTATGTATGTGAATATAGCAATGCAAGGATAGTTGCAAGGCCAGGTATAGTCATTATATAGGATTTCAAGAACTGCAATAACCTAAGTGAAAGTGTATGTTATAAAGGAGTGTGTATAAGGGCACAAGCGACCCCGTCCCAAGTAATCTTACAACACTGGACATATGGACCGTCCTAGACGACCGGCTTGCATGAAATGTGAACCCACTATGGAATTTCCACGCAAGCTAGGAGAAAGGTGCAACGTACTTTCGACTGCACCGAAATGCTGCAGCGCTTACTTGCGGGCCCGAAAGCTTCCCACCCAAGCTTTGCGAACCTTGCCACACTCACGGAAATCATTTGTTGCAGCACGTGCTCTCTCCTTCGCGTCGTCCAGCGACATGCCGTTGTTCAAAGCAGTCTTGTACGCGTTGCTGTAGATATGGTTTCCTTTCACATGTGGCGGCGGCACAATCATCACGTAGTCCTGATCCTCATCATGGTCGCTCTCCTGTCGCATGCAGAGAGCAAGAACAAGAGAGAAACATAGTTGTGCGCAGGTGACCACGCACAGCGATCCTAGCATGTTCGCACGACACATATCATGTGATACAATATATGCACTTCGGGCACCTCCAGCTTCTGCTTTGGCTTTGACTTTGCTTTTCCTTTGCCTTTGGCCTTTGGCACTGTGGCGCCTTTCTTTGCATCCTTGGCACTGTCTCTTGAGTCCACTTCGGAATCATGCTCTGCATCCTCCTCCTCACTCTCCGCATAGGGGACGTTGTACTGGTAGGTGACGCCCTGGCAGTCTCGAAAAACGTTTCTGGCCACCCGCACCAATCCTTTGGCAGGTCCCTTTGTCATCATCTTGCCTTCCTTCGGCCCCGGCTTTTTTTTCAAAGAGCTTTTCCCGTCTTCTGCCGTGGCCTCTTTTTCCTCCTCGCCCTTCTTTTTCTTCGAAGATCCTTTCGAGGCTGCTGCCGTGGCCTCCTCCGCTTCCTCGGCGTGCTTCTTTTTCTTCCCTTTCGAACCTGTTGGCTTGGGCTCCTCGTCCTCCTGCTCCATGTCCGCTTTCCTTTTCTTCTTCTGTTTCGAAAGAATCACAGGCTCCTCCTCGTCCTCCGCCAGTTCCAACCCTTTCTTCTTTTTCATTCCTTTGGAACCAACCACATCCTCGTCCGCTTCCTCAGCCTGCTTCTTTTTCTTTCCTTTCAGAACCTTGGGGGGATCCTCCGCCTCTTCCTCTTCCACCTTCCTCTTCTTTGGCAACTTCTGCGGCTCATTGTCCTTGCCTTTTGTTTTTTTCTTCGGGGCTTTGGGCTGCTCATCGTCCTCTTTGTTGGCATGCTTCGCCTCCTTCGCTTTCACTGTCTTTGCCTTCTTTGGCTTTTCCTCATGCCACTCTTCGCATTCTTCCTCCTCATCCACTTCGTCCTCCCATTCATCCTCTGCGGCATGCTCGTCCTCCACCGTGCCAGCTTTGCTGTTTTTCGCATTATTCTTCTTCGCTTTCTTTTCCATGGCCTGCACATGGACATAGACCCACAGACAGATACGTATGTATGTACGTATGTACGTATGTATGTTGGTACGTAGGTAGGTAGGTAGGTAGGTAGGTAGGTAGGTAGGTAGGTGGGTGGGTAGGTAGGTAGGTAGGTAGGTAGGTAGGTAGGTGCGTACGTGTGTGTGTGTGTATATGAATGTATGTGTGTATGTGTGTATGTGTGCATGTGTGCATGTGTGCATGTATGCATGTATGCATGTATTTATGTATGTATCTATGTATGCTGTGTATGTTTGTATATGTATGTGTGTATGTAAATATGTATGTATACGTATGTATGTATGCATGCATCTCTATATAAAGATACAAAAATATATCTCATTATTTGTTTATATGTATGTATATATATATAAAGATATAAATATATATATATATACAATACACACACATATAATTATGCACACTCGATCATTCCGCGTGCTGCAAACCTCCCCGCCTGAGCTTCTTTGCGTGCCTCCTCAAGACACATCGCTTCCATGCTTTGGATGACCTCTTCTGGGTCGACAGGCTCCTCTGCATCGTCTTCATCCTGCTCAGCAGCATCAGCCTTCTTCTTGGCAGGTGCCTGGCGCTTCTTGCTTCCAAGCTGCTCCTCATACCTAGGCGGCACGGCAGTGCTGACCAGGCCATGGACCTTGTCGATGACTTCTGTGGGCGGTGCTTCGAGTGGGTACTTGTACGCTTGTTTTGGCTTCTTACCCGTGTCCTGCTCGATTTCCTGGCGGGGGTCCTTTTCCTTCGGCTTCGCCCCCTCCTGCTCGATTTCCTGGGGGTCCTTTTCCTTCGGCTTCTGCGTGTCCTGCCGGATTTCCTCGCGGGGTCCTTTTCCTTCGGCTTCTGCGTGTCCTGCCCGATTTCCCGGCGGGGGTCCTTTTCCTTCGGCTTCTGCGTGTCCTGCTCGATTTCCTTGCGGGGGTCCTTTTCCTTTGGCTTCTGCGTGTCCTGCTCGATTTCCTGGCAGGTGTTCTTTTCCTTTGGCTTCTGCGTGTCCTGCTCGATTTCCTGGCAGGTGTTCTTTTCCTTCGGCTTCTCCTCTTCATGCACCTGCGTGCAAGAATACATCATGTATGATATGTGCATGCATGTACATGTGTGGGAACATGCCAGAGCTGCGCAACAGCTAAGAAGAGAACCCTGCCCACCGGAGGCGGCGCCGCTGCCGTTGGCAGCACTCTGGGAGCTGCTTCCGGCTGACTTCGCTCCTTCCAGACGGGTAATTTCGACGGGACGGGAACTACTTCTCTTACATAGGCTAGTTCGGGGCTCTCTATGTTGGCTTTGCATATGTGCAGCGATGAAACTATGTGTATCTGTATATACATATGTATATGTAGATCTATTCATACATCTTCATGTATGTATATATATATATGTATATACAAGCGGGCTTGTTATATGATCACGGAAAGCTTGGCATGTATATGCAACTATATATTGACATTGCATTCACATAATAGTTGGCGTGACGTATTATATCACACTGTACACACACATACACATATGTGTAATTTACAATATGACAACATCGCCTTGTAAGTATATATGTATATATATATATACATACACATATGTAAACTTCCGGAAGTAGCCTAGGTAGCATGCACTGGTAGCCCATCCCGGTAGCAGTCTGGCCTCTCCGGCCAAAGCAGTTCTTGTAGATAGATTCGCCTGCAAATCAAGGTTTCACATTGTGTCATGTACTCAGAACAGACGTCGAAGAAGCGAAAAAGAGTTCTTCCATTCCGGCACCTTGACATTCGGATTGTCTTGGGAAGGTGGCTGACAAGGATTTGGAGTAGGCATGAATTATGTAGAACTCCCATAGCATGCCCACGAGAACAGATGTATAGAGCAACATGTGTGCATGAAATCAACTATACAGTGCATGATAGCCCGCCTTCACACGTGGAGGCGGCGACTCCCCATACAAAGTCTTGTGCACCATGCGATGCATCTGCATGAGCTCCGTTTTAGGGGCCTCTTGCATAGCCCTTGCGAAAGCCGAGGGATCCTGTCTCAGGATGGTCGCTGCCAGCACCATCTGCTCCCTCTCGTTGTTGTCACCTTCGCAAAACTTGTTGTAGATTGACATGCTGCGCAGACCGCGTGTACCATATCACAAAGGCGTTCTCTCTCTCTCTCTCTCTC